GTTGGTAAATAAATAGATAATTATTCTATGGGGAATAGAATGTTATTTGATATTTTCGAAGTAAAATGCAATTATCAAATTTATTGACTATTACCATCATTTATTGATGGTCTGAGGAAATTATTAGTAAATAATAAAAATTATCTTTACTACCATTACTTAAAAAATTTCCTGGTTTGTTAATCAAATGTACTTTTTTTTTTCTTTTTTTTAATTACTCGAGACAATGTGTTCTTTTAATAGTAATAAATTTTTATTGTTCTGAATAATTCTTTGTTCCTTACAATACTATCTATTTCATGTCAAACATTGCTGTCTCGGTGTTGGTGTCATGCCAGTGGACCTTTTTATCTTTGCAATCAAACATTCTAATGAAACCATTTACAAAACCTTTATATAACTGTGAAACATTGTACGTGTCATGTGGCTTATTATACCATTTTTACAAACCTATAATTAACCAATTGTTATTTCAAGTGAAGACTTATTGTACCTTTGGGAAATATTACATCTTTTGTTTCTATTTTTATAGCTTTCAGGTTTGTTTATATATATATATATATATATATATATATATATATATATATATATATATATATATATATGTGTGTCAGCAAATATATGGATATAGATCCGACAGTATGAAGAAAAAAATATACTGAAAAAACAAACAAAATCCTAATATGCGATTATGCTGTTTTAATGTCAACGTCGGACGTTTCGGTCTAATAGACCATCTTCAGGACATATTCATAAAACATAATTAACATAGACTGAAGATGGTCTATTAGACCAAACATCCGACGTTGATATTAAACATTAAAACAGCATAATCCCATATTAGGATTTTTGTTTGTTTTTTTCAGTATTTTTTTTTATATATATATATATATATATATATATATATATATATATATGTGTGTGTGTGTGTGTGTTTGTGTGTGAACTATAAAAAATTATAAATTTTTCAGACACACTGGGTTGTATATTAATATTTTTTGTTTTATTGTTTTAATTAGTTCATTGACTAGTTTTTGGCCAGCATGGCCATCATCAGGAGGAAAAAAAATCCCTGCTTGTTAGTAGCAGTGAACTGCAGGAGATATATATATATATATATATATATATATATATATATATATATAGTTTTAAGGTATTCTATGTATATAAGTTAAAGTGCCCAATATCAGGGATAGTGTATATATAAATAAACAGCATCAACCTACAACAATAAATCCAAAAACTATAAACTCTGCCTGGAGGAAAAAATTAGTTATAATTACATTCCCAGACCGACACAAACTACTAAAACGATCAGCCTTCATCCCAAAATGAAAACAAATTTTTAGTGTTAATTAAAAATCAAAAAATGAAAAAGAACAAAAATAAGTAAAATAAATTAATACAAACAAATAAATAAACTAAATAATAAACAAATTATCATACCTTGGACACACAGATAAAGACAAAAAAAATCATAGTAATAACAACCAACAATAAAATAATAAATTAAAAATAAAATTAAAATTGTTAACAAACAATACTATAAATAGCCCCAAAAAACTGCATTCGGATCCACAATTATTCCCACTCAAATAATCTATATATATTTATATTTACTGGTAGCTATGAAAACCAGTAATTAACAAAGATGAAATTAAAAAATATAGCTATATTCTTTATTTTCCTGAAATATTCTACTATCTTTAATGTTTTCCAAAAATATTCTGCCATCTTTGATGTCTTCTAACTGATAGCCTGCTATCTTTGTATACTTCCTCCCAACTAATGCTCTGCCATTTTTGTATTTTCCTCCCAACTGATCCTCTGCTGTCCTTGACATTTTCACTACCATGCTTTGAAATTTTCCTCACAATGTCATCTTTGACGTTTTCCTCACAATGTCATCTTTGACATTTTTATCCAAACCCATCCTCTACCATCTTTGAACTCTTCCTCCTAACCTGATATTCTGCTATCTTTGAACTCTTCCTTCCAACCTGATGTTCTGCCATCTTTGAACTCTTCCTCCCAACCTGATGTTCTGCCATCTTTGAACTCTTCCTCCCAACCTGATGTTCTGCCATCTTTGAACTCTTCCTCCCAACCTGATGTTCTGCCATCTTTGAACTCTTCCTCCCAACCTGATGCTCTGCCATCTTTGATGTTTTCTCTCCCAATGCTCTGACATTTTTTATGTCTTCCTCCCACCCGATATTCTGTCATCTTTGATCAACCAATGTTCTGACATTGACTTCTTCTTCCCAACTCATCTTTGTCGTCTTCTCTCTTGATGCTCTGCCATCATAAACGTCTTCCCTATCTATGCTCTGTTATATTTTTATGCTTGAATGTTATTTTATGAAGCATTATTAATTATGAATTTTTCTTTTACTTACTGTTTGCTTTTTATCACCACTACTCATGCTCTCATTATAATGTATTCTTTGTTTTAATTTTCTTGTAACCACAGCATTTTGGCTAAAGCCATCCTTCTTCAGGGTTCTATTGTTATAGGAGTACAATCTACTGTCTATATCTCTGCGATGAGGTATTATGATTACTTGGATTATTTACATTATTCGGACTGTTATCCTCATTTTCATTATCATATTCACAACGTTGTATGCTCCGGCCTTCTTCAAGTGATTGGAATTTGACCCGAACTCTTTATTTCATCCATCGGAGTAGAATGTTCTAGTTCCACATGCCATGCCTCTTCCAGATGTCTCATTTACTTCCCTTTTAACTCAACTCTCCAAGTTTGGGTTCACCACTGCTGTGGCCTGGTATTGAACTCACAACTCTTTTGATCTAGTCACTGGATCTAACAAAGATCTTTATCCACTGGGTCATGTGTCCTTGAGAACACACCTGAAGAAAGCCAGAGTGTACAATGGCCGAAACGTTGTGAATATGGCAATGAAGATGAGGATAACAGTCTGAATAATGTAAATAATGCAAGCACAGTCTTATCACTCCCCCTTTTTTTTCTTGTAAAAAAAAAACAAAAAAAAACTCCTCTCTTATTGAAGAAGGCTATAGAATGTTAATCAGTTTTTGTGAGTTTGATGAACTCTTGGAAAATGTCAAACAACATTAGCTTTTTCTCATTTCTTGTTGACAGAGGTTCATCTACTAAGTTTTCCTTTGCATTATATCAATATTAAAGTTATATATCCATTGCATTTAGTTCAATATTTATCCCAAATTCCTTGAAATCCTTCTGTAGTTTGATATTTTGTTTTGTATTCTCTCCAACTCATCAAATTTTCTATTTGAATCATTTCACCCCAAAAAAGGCAATAAAGTCACTAAGATGCAGAGGTTATGGAGTGTGATAGAATATCAGAAAAAAAAAATTATTAATGAGAGAATCCAATAAAAAAGAAGAATTACACAGACAAAAGATGACAATTTACATTGGAACTCAAATTTATGAAGATCAAATTTGCCTGAAAAGCAAGAGACTACAGGAGGGTTCCACAAGTGAGAAGTGTAAAAAAAGAAACTCCTAGTCTGTCTATATTTCTGAGATGAGGTATTATGTACATTATTCGGACTAATGTCCTCATCTTTGTCGCGATATTTATCACAACGTTTCGGCCGTTGTACGCTCCGGCCTTCTTCAGGTGTTTGGAATGTCAAACTGAACCCTTTATTTCGCTCACTGGGGTAGACTGTTCTAGTTCCACATGCCATGTTTTTGATGAATGTCAGTTATCAGTTATCTCCTACTAATTTTCCTCTGAAAGTTCTCCACTACCTTAACCGGGTATTGAACTCACACTCTTTGGGTCCTGTCACTGGATCTAACCAATGCCCTTATCCACTGTGCCATGTGTCTTAATGTAAATAAAGAAACTCCTAGCATATAACTTAGGGTTACATTTAGCTAATTCAGCTGTAAAATTGTGACCTTGCCACAAATTGAGTGTTGTGCTTAAATTCATAAAGTCTGTGTACCAACAAGTAAAGCTCGTCAGAAAAATTACAATGGAAATATTTATAGAAAAGGTGCAGATTATCTATGTTATGGGAAGAGTAAAGGGACTGAAGCCAAGGTGTCAGGTCAGGGCCAATAACATTGCAGATACTTCTTTGTAATTTATCAAGAATCTCTAAATGCATAGCAGAAGCACCAGACCAGACATGTCAGCAATATTTAATGCATGGAGAAATTGTAGATTTATAAATATGTATTCTGGCAAAAAAACTTGTCTAGCCTGATGCAGTGAACCTACTTTCTTAACAGCAAACCTAGTAGTTAATTCAATATAAATTTTGGTTACACACCATATTGGAAAAAAAAAAATTCCTCAGTTATATTTATATGATACGATGGACGCATAAATGGAAATGGAAGATTTTCTCAAGTGTTTCTGTTTGATAGACCAGAAGATGGTTTCTTCTAAAGTTCTTCTAAGCAGCATCCACTTTAATAAAAGGTGAATGGGGAAATAAAGGAATTTTTGGAGATCAAGTGGCAACAAAACTGGAAATAGGGTATATCCGGGTACTGATTTATATGTCATGCCTGGATCGGGGAGAGTTCTGGTTCACCATTGGTTGCGCAGTTCCAAAACCTCAATTTCGTATTGCCATCCACCATGTTAGAAGAAGTAGATATGCAAGAGTTGGTAGGGGGAAGAACAGATGTAGCAGATATTGTCCTCTGTATCTCCTACCTACCCACCTGGCCGAGCAAGCGACAACTT